CCTCCTCGGCTCGCCTGTTTCTGTACTCCCGATCGATGTAGGTTTTTTTTCGGCTATCATAATAGAAATTATTTATACCGTCGGACCTTCGGCCATCCTCGTGATTAGGGTACGAGTAATCCAGCGAAGGACGACGATACCTGCCATAGTCGTTGCTCTTAGGGCTTCCACTCCGACTTCAGCTCTGGCTGCAGATAAAACTACGTTCACGTCGCTGATAGATTCGAGACTCTGGGGAATGGCGGGCGTTGTCACGGTGGCCGGCGGTACGCCGACGTTCGGAAATTTTTACGGCTGATGAAAGTCTGCCCATCTGGGGATTTGAGAAGATCCGAAAAACGATTCAGACTTTGGAATTTGAATAGAATTGAGACGGGTAAAACCTCGGGTCTGATCTGAATAAATTTGGAGTTTTGGTTCTATGAGAACGATAAGAAAGAAAAAGGAAGAAGATAGAGGGGGTTAGGTGGAGAAGAATTAAAAAGGAAGAAGAGAGAGAGAGGGTTAACTGGAAAAGGATTAACTTCCTTAAATCAATTAACCGTATTTGTGAAGAAAATTATCTCATATCGTACTTTTAATATTATTTACTAAATCACTAGTAAGGGGAGTAATTTTCTCATTACGGAATTCCTACACAGTGTCTTTTATTTGTTGGGACAAAATTTTCCAATAGCTACTTAGCTTCATCCAGGGATGTTCAATCAGTATAAATCGAATCGAATTGATCGAAATTTTGGTTTGTAATAGTCTAATTTTCAGTATTTATGTTGAAAGTGTGTTGCTATTTTTTTTTTTTTCAATGCATTTTGTCATATAAACTCTTTCCTAATGAGTTACGTTGGAAATATTGAACCGACTTTCTAATATCTAAATTATAACACCATGTTAAACACGATGACTCACTAATTCTTTATATTTGTTTCAATTTTTTATTGTTCTTGTATGAATTATTTTAATTGGTTCACCTATACAAATAATTCTTATCAAATTGATGCAACGGAGATATTAGTTTGATTCAAATTTCTAGTAGTGTTTTAACATTATTCCTATGTTAATTAGTATTACAATAATTAATTGACCCCGCCTGACGCAGGGTGGATCAAGGTTAATACGGATGGCGCTTGTGACACTTCTACCGGGATGAGTAGTGCAGGTGGTTTGATTAGAGACGAACTTGGGAGATGGGTGGATGGCTTTTTTATGAATATTGAATTCTGCACAATCACTGGTGCTGAGCTTTGGGGACTCCTACAGGGGCTTACGTTAGCGTGGGATAGGGGTTTCCGGCTTGTTATTGCAGAAGTGGACAGTCAGTGTGTGACGAAGATGATTACCGGCACGGAGGATAGAATTGGATCTCATGCAGCTTTGATCAAGGCTATTCGTAGCCTTTTGGACCGGGACTGGCGAGTCACGATCACACACGTTCATAGAGAAGCTAATTTTGCGGCGGACCACATGGCGAGTCTTGCGGCTTATGCATCGGTCGGATATCATCATGTTCAGAGCCCCCCCGATGGTTTGGGCGATTGGCTTCACCAGGATCTTATTGGGGTCTCGTACCTTCGGCGTGTTTTAGCTTAATTTTTCTAGGCCTTTGGCCTCCTACATTGTACCCAAAAAAAAAAAAAAGATTATTAGAGTGATTCGCTTTCCTCACATGCTTTATTTTATTTCCAATGTAATTAAAAATAATGCTAATTAATAATTAATTGATTATTTTTCGTTTACTCTCATGAGAGTAGTCCACGTACGCCATAATTTCACTTTCAAATGCCTCATAATTCTCGACTGCCCCTTGGATGTTTGTTCATTGCCAGCACTCATGAGAATGATTGATTGAAATTTTGATTTAAAAAAAAAAAAAAAAAAAAACAAGCTTATATATATATATATGCCATCATATATTGAGCATATATATATATATTGAGCAACTTATTAGATATGCAAAATTATTACAAAGATTAACTATGCCATCATAATAAGAAAACTTCCTACTTAATCGTAGATATTCGATACGACTTTTGTTAGAAAGTCGTATTATTTTAGCAAATATAAATACTTTCAAACTCACGGGTTAAACTTCTAAAATATGAAAACATTTATTAATTTAAATGTGAATGTTTTTTTATTAGTAAATTATATATAACCGTCTAGTTGTGAGACCGCTAACAACAACATTTGTATATAATCGGATTAGAAATCTAAGCATCAAACTTCAAAATGGCAACTCAATAAATTATCACAAATTTTGTTAGTTGTAGGGTAGTCTGTCATAATTTTCTTATATAAAAAAAAAATGCACTTTGTAAACGTTGAATAAATAATAATTTTTTACATAGTTTTGATATTATATACTAATATTTTAAAAAATATCTCACACATCCTTGCCACTTTGTACACGTATTACTTTGAATATTTCAACGTGTAACTCATGATTTGACCAAGTTTTATAATTACTATATATAGTGCTTCGATATAAATTGTGATTTAATTGCTAACTCAAATATAACTAAACTTCAACTCTAAACTTTATTTAGTATTATCTATATAATTAAATTATTATAATTATTTTTACAAATTACATAAAATTTTAATTTTTTTTCATCCACTTACATAATATTAACTCCCATCACTTCAAATCACATCTTTTATATACTTTTACATCAAATCAACTTTAATAACTATATTTTAATACAAACTCAAAATTTCAATCAATTCTAACTCAACCAACTTTCTAAAATATAACTCTAGTTTTCTAATTAACCAAAAAAAAAAAACCATCGAAAACTTATATCTAAACACACGTGTTTGTATATAAAATAACTCAATCCTTATTCAATTTATACTCAAAATTTAACTAAACTTTAGTTGTACCTCACTATCTTTAATATTATCAATACAATCAAATAATGTCAATCAATAATTCTTACACATCACAACAGTTTTAATGCCCTATTCATCTACTTACATAATTTAAACTAACCATCAATTCAAATTTAATTTTTTTTTTTTACTTTTACATCAAATTAACTTTAGTTATTTTATTGTACATATTATTTTAATACAAGCTTAAAAATTTAACTAACAACTAACAATACTATCTTTTTAAAATTAATTATAATTAACTAAAAATTTTATTTTGATGAGATATATTTATATCCAACCACTCTCTAAATCTATCATGTCACTTCTCAGACCAGCCAAATATTTGTTTTTATCTTTTTTAATCAAAGGTTATTAGAGTTTATGGGAGGTGTCAACTGGAAATATGACTGCAGTAATTTATAAACCTTGCAAAAACCTTGAGCCTAATTGGGAAACTCTAAATATGGCAAAATAGAATTGAAAAAAAAAAAAGAAAATTAAAAATAAAATAGAAAGACTGTTGTCCTTTTGACCCACACTTTTTATTATAGCAATAAAGAAAACAAAATACGTGGCTGCTAACGGGTAACCTCAACGGACAAAATGCGACCCATTAGTATGTGATAAACGCGTTTTCTGTACAGACGTGTATTTTCTGGCATATATTTTTTTTATGATAGGTGTTACGGTTTCGTTACGAAAATTATTCTGTCAGAGTTTGTAATCATTAGATCAATTATCTTCGACAGTTATATGATGATCCAACGATTACGAACTCTGATGGAATGTTATGTAACGCGACCTTAGCATTTTCCCTTTTTATACTCTTATATCTATTTTTTCTTTTTTTCTAGTTATTGATAAATTTTTGTTAAGCAATTGGTTAGCACGAAAATATTTATCTGATAGTTAATGAGTTAGACCTTTTCACAAAAACTTCACAAAAAATTATTCCAGAACCTTGTACTAATGATGTTGTGAGACTATATATATAATTTCAATAAATATATATATTTTAATTCTAAAATATTGAACAGCAAATATTTTTATTAAAGTATTACAACTGTCTAACTATTAGAAGTAAACTAATGATTTATTTTATTCATTTCAATTAGTTTAAGTGCACTATGAATCCTTATAAAAAAAAATTAAATTATTTTGTTAACTTATATATATATATATATAAATGTTTGTTTATTTTTTAAACATTAACTATTTTCTGTCAAAAAAAATATTATTTACTAATTCAGGAAATTATTTAAACACTTTATGGTATATTTTAAAAATACAATTTAGGTAATTGCGACTGATTTATTAAGGTAATAAATCACATATTCTTTTTTTTGTATTTCAAAATATTTTTTCGGTACAAGTATCTCAAGATATTCATATCATATATATGTACATATATATTATATATTTGTACTTAAATTATCGAGATCTATCATTAGATTTACTTATATATTTTTAAATTAATAACATCAATAAATAATATTAATATATTAAATATTTATCATTATATAAAAAAATATTACTTCTATTAATGTTATAAATAATATTGACATTATATGACAATAAATTTTTGAATAAAATAATTTTTGAATATTATCATGAACCAAAATATGTAATATTATAATTTTTTTATATTAAAAATTAAATATATACGAATTAACGGGCTAATACATTATTAAAGTAAAGTTTTATAAAAAATAAATTGTTACAAAATCCGCACGGGATTCTCACTAGTTTCTAAATCGAGGCTTGGGTGTCAAAATATCCGACGGTCAAAACCCAACATCATTAGAAGAAATCTTGATTTATTTACTCTTTATATCCGTTCAAATTGTAACTTCTTTCAATGGAAAACAAACTAAAAGAATAAACTAATTAATGAAAAACCAAAAGGAAAAAGAAAAGATGGAGTACACTCACTCGTATTTTACAAAGGGACACAACTTACAATCACAACATTACCAAAATTTGAACAAAATCAATTTAGAGAAGAAAAAAAAAATAATATTTACAATAAATAGGTTTTTGTCCGTAATAAAGGAAAACCCACAAAGAAAGAAGAAGAAGAAGAAAGGGTACAAACACAAAAGCACAAGGCACACCTTCAATTAACTAGCTCACAGCTGCATGGAAATCAAACTCCCGCCGCCCGCCGCCACCTGATCGAGAAAATACTCGCAGAAATCCTTGTCCGAAGCCCACCACGGCGGCTGCAGCCACCCCTCCGCCGAATCCACCACCGCCATCCCCCCACCAGACTCAGCCGTCCCGTCGCCCCCCTCCAGGCTCGGCAGCTCGATGATCTCCCCCAGGTCGTCCGAGCCCGCCGCCGCCGCATCGCAGCTAACGGAAGACGCGCTGTTGGACGTCTCCGGCGAATCCGGCGGAGGCGGCGGCCGAATATCCTCCATCGCCGCCGCCTTCGCCGCCGCGTCCTGCACGTCCCGCGGCGCTACCGACGCCGGACGCGGCAGGGATCCGCGTAGGTGGGGGAAGTTGAGCACCGCTGATTCCCCCTTGACGGTCAGCGCCGCCACGTCGTGGGCACGCGCCGCCATCTCCGCCGTGGGGTATGTCCCCAGCCAGATGCGCGACTTCTTTCGCGGCTGGCGGATTTCCGACACCCACTTGCCCCAGCTCCGCATTCGCACACCTCTGTAGA